AACAGACGACATCGGAAGTGTAGGACTTAACTACCCTAAGTTAAAGACTCCTAATACTAAACTCCTAAAGCCTTAACCCTAACCCCTAAGCCCCTAAACCCCCAAAACCCTAAACACTATAGCTACAGGTTTTCTTGTGCTTCGCCTGAAGTTGAATCACCGTAAAGCCGAAACCATGAGCCGTTTGCGGGCAAAGACAGAGAAACCCGTTGAGGGTTTAGGGCTTCGCAGCCAAAGTCACAGGCATCTCTGTGACAGCCACGACGCGTGCCATAAAACACGCACGGGTTGCAGTCGACATCCTCATGGTCGAGCGGGCATGCCTGAGGGACGTACAATAAAGACCTAGGCGTTTTTTGGAGAGAAAAAGAGACGTTATGCTTCTTCTAGTATCCTGGGAATAAAATATTTAAGGTACTGGGTCACGGCCGTCACCATAGGGGCATTTTGGTGATTTGAATGGGGTTTGGGTTACAGTACCACGAACTTTTCCAGACCCCACCAGTATCGAAGCCGCAGCTAGGGTCGACTCTGTGGTCTTCATTCACTCTCAGAAGTTGAAGGGTTTGGTTTAGGGTTTTCGGTTTAGGGGTTTAGGGTTTAGGGTTTTGGCACCCATACACTTCTGACCCAAACCGTGATTCTGGAGCCCCAACACCTAGTCCCAGACTGCATGGGGCTCTGCGGAATTGAAATACATGGGTTTAGGGGTTTAGGGTTTAGTTTAGGGATTAGGGATTAGGGTTTAGTTTAGAGTTTAGGGTTTAGGGGGCTCAAAAGTGCTTGCTCAGGGTTTGGGGTGGAGAAAAAAGACCACCTAGGAGGATCTTTGGAGCAGGTCGGAACGAAAGCACCATGGAAAACAAAAGGCCTGCAGGGTGACAGTAAGACGTAAAGCAAGGGAGATCCCGGTGGCAATGGGAAGCCTAAACGGGGGAGTTTCCGACAATAGGCGACCCTAATATAGTACCCGAAATAGTAGGATCCTTATTATAAGGACCCCAAAATAGGCTACCCTAATTTTCGGAAAGTCCCAAATGTGCTCATGCTTTAAGCTGTGTTCACATGATGAACTGCTGGGGCCCCGGAAGCGCCCCAAAAATAATCACAGGCAGTCCCAACATGGACCATAGCCATAGAGTAGAAGTATCTAGCGTTTAGGGTTTAGGGTTTAGGGAAGGACGGCAGACAGTTTAAGGCTTCAAGTAGTGCTCATGGCTTTAGGGTTTAGGGGGTCTCTTGCTCAGCAACTAGGCCGAGATGGGGGCCCACCTAACTAATTCTAACGGCAGTCAACACAGAGAAGCTCCTGTAACTCAAACGGCTGTGGACACCTGCACGCATTTCAGGGTGATGCCATGATGTAGGCCCGCGAAACTCTAGGCTCCCAATGTCCTACCCATATCACAACACCGAAATCGGTTCTCCGAATTTGCAAACTTCCACCAAAAATACACATCGTCACCGTTACTGTCGTCATGCTTATCATTGTCGCCTGCATCGTCAACATCACCGTGGTCAGCAGTTTCGTTGTGACATTTTCACTCACAGACACCAAGCAAGGACAAGCGTGTTACTGGCCAGTGGCATGCTCTTGATATTGGTAGTGGCCGACCTCGCAATACGACATTGTCGTGCTCGCCCGTGATGGTCGTCGAAATAGAGGTAGGCATAGTAGAAGAATAGCAGTGGCAATAGTAGCAGTAGCAGTCGCAGTGGCTGTGGCGATGGCAATAGGAGTAGTAGTAGTAGTAGTATTCATTCATTCAGCACGCACACCGTGTTCGATGATTCGCGACGGGAATGGCTGGAGCCTAAAGCCCCTGGAAGCTCCAGGCTTCACCGCTCTGTTGGCGGCCCAAGAATGCCCTCTAATCTAGGCATAAGGCAACTCAATCAAGTGTCATGAGAAAAGACTCTTCGGCATCATTCTGTACCACTGGCTCACATACAGGTGACTCCACATCACCTGCGTCACTGGTAGCAGCAGCATCACCATGCTCATGACCGGTCGCCTCTCCATGGGAAAATGAAGAGGCAGCGCCACGAGACATGTTGTTCTGCCAAAAGGAGGTGCATCGGCCACTATGTCTCCCATAAATACAATATGAGCAACAGCTTCTATATCCGTTCCCTGATCCACGGGGACATCCAGGCGTGGAGCATTGAGTGGAGTTCATTCTGGGGATCAGCCCTCCCCTTGTAAGAGCCCGCTGCAAGGCTCCACAACGCCGCGCATGCGCTGCTCCTGCACTGCTTCTGCATAGGGAGCAACAGTGTCGATGCCTCGTGTACAGATATAGTTTGCCACACTGTGGTGTGATGCACCGCCGGAGGCGCTGTTGATTCTCAGCCTCATCCTCAACGCCCTGGGCACCATTAGCACTATCTGCACCCGATGCCTCAGCCCTGGCGAAAGGAACCGGAGGGTCCGATAGCTCATCATCAGCAGCAGCATCTGCTGGGACTGCCCCCGTCTGGCCAGATGCTGTGTCAGCCGGTGCCTCAGTCCAGGCGTGCAGCCGCGACGCATCCACGGCCATCCGCGGCATGTCCATGACCTGAGTTGGCACAAGTATGCTCAGCAGAGTTACACGTTGGCTGGGCAATCTATGAGTGCGGTGCACATAATTACCACGCGTACCACTCTGCAGTCTCACATACATACAGACACAACAGAGCGGGATCAGCCCGTTTTCGCTCCTTCCCCCGAGCAAGAACGGTGAAGCGTTTGCGCATGCTGGTACACATGCTTGGCCAAAGAAAGAGTGGCTCGACAGGCCGTCCTCGACAGCACCGCATTAAGGTACCTGAAATCCCAACTCCAACAGCACCCCACGCTCTGTCGGCGAGAGAAAGCGATGCTGTCCGATGGTGAAAGCAGCAAGAACTACTCGATCTCCTTCTGACCACGGCCTAACTCCATGCATGGAAGTGGCAGCTGGAAAGAGTATGCAGCTCATGCTAGTGGTATATGCAACGCCCGGCAAGAGTTGCTCGCCACACTCTTCAAAATCCTTGCCCTGGTCATGTTGTATCCAGAGCTGACCTCCCCTATAGTGGCTCAGACCCACCAACAATGATGGTAGTCGCGCGTTCTGCGCATCAACGTGGGGCGGGACTAAACTGTTAAGGGAAACTACCAGACTAGTCCACCTATGTTCCGGGCAGAGTTTGCGAACTAATCCATTAAGGAGTGCGCACACAGAGCGATGCATTGCAGTCGCCTGTGTCAGACCACAAAAGGAGTGGTGCCCATACGCTCCTAGCCTAACAACCATCTGCATCATATCAGCACTCAGACGACGCTCGGCCTTGAAGTTGAGCTGTGCAATGACCTGGCGTGCCGCACCCCAGAGGGACGCGGAGCTATCCTGAAGGAGCTGCGATGCGACCTGATTGGCAGAGCTACCCTGTTCCACATCGCCATCAACTGGAGGCGGCAAGCCCGCGCCATGCGCTCCCGGGAGCTTCTCACAGAGCTGAGCAGCGTACAAGGCAAGTCGCTCATACCTCTCGGGTACCAAATCGCTCCGGGCAAAGGCCAAGATGTCATTGCGCTGCGCAATGGACAGAGAGGCTGGAGGGGAGCAACCTGCTTCCTCTTGCTTGAGGAGTCTGTACGCAGCCAGCAACAGGTTTTCCTCCAGCGCCTCCTGGTATATTTGCGCCGGCAAGGGCACCCGCACGACCTCTCCAACTGACGCAGCCATGCCCCTAGTGCGGCGAAACTAGGAACAATGAGGGCACCCCATCTTGATCGAAAGGCATACAGGCATGAGCCGAGCATAAGCACGCATCTGCAGGATGACTGAGGCAGAGCCAGTGCTGGCAGGCAGGCTCACTCGAGGCTAAGAGCGCGGCCTCTGCACGCAGTGCCACCCTCTGAACCTACCCCCCTAGCTAGCTATGGCTGCAGAGCCGCTGCACCTGCGCGAACTGCGCAGAGTGGCATAGAGAGCCGAACCTCCCTCCAAGGCAAAATGAATACAGGAGCACTTGATTTCGTCACATATACTGACTGTACATACATGTTGAATTCATGAGAGAGCAACCTGCATGAAGCCGTCCATCTCAGAAATTTTGCACCTGTAGCAGCACCCGTCTTCGGCTTGGTGCATCTGTACATCCCCATGGCCTACATCATGGACTCCCTGGGTCGTACACCAAACCCACTAGATAGCTGTTGCGTACAAGCATGTCTGCATCCTTCGCAGCGAGCCGCCGCGGTTTGCTGTTGTCGTTTAAGACCCAGCCTTGCCATGTTGCAGACTCGCCTTCCCCGGCATCCGCGATGGGTTTACACACCACTGCTTGGTAATGACCAGTTTCAACATGCAGACCTAGGTGGCACAAAACCCAAGCTATCCTAAAATACTCAAAGCGGATGTGGACCCCAGTTGGGCCGCTGAAGACCGGCACTGCGACACGCTCACCCGGCTGCCACCTGACAGCAGACTGGTCTTTCACATGGCCTGATCCCTCCTGTCTATACCGCTTCAGCTGCAACAGCACGATGCCCGAATGTTCGTGAAGCGCATGAATGGTGTGTTGCTCGTGCCAGGCATGAAGCAACTCAGCAACCGTCGCGCCTGAGAGATCAAGAAGAATCGGGGCATCCAGAGCTCCTGTGTCCGCAACAACATCAGGCCCTGTAAGCCTGGCTTGCCACGTGCCGATGTATGCAGAGGGAAGGCACTTTGAGAGCAGGTGTTGCATAAATTGGCACACATCATGCTGTCGGGTGACTTCCCGCCAGCCCCCTAAGAGCATGTGCCACGCGAGGCTCTGGGGAAGATGAGGCTTCCCATTGGCAAGAACAGGCTTAACTGCTGCAGTGGCGTTTCCATAGCAGCGGTCCTCGCGATCCACCAGCTGACCAGTCCACGCAAAAGCCTGTGCACACGCATTCAAGTAACAGATGTTGTTGGGGTTCTGGAGTCGGCTCTGCGGAACGCAGAGATGCGGTTTGAAATGCAGGCGCACTGGTGGATCCCGCCTCACTTGGTCGTCTCGGCTCCCTCCATAGCTGGACCTTCCTGTGTCCATTGGGACTGCTGCCGCTGCCATTTGCGATCGCGTGGCTTCCAGTCTGCAAAGGAGAGACCCGTGTATGAGTCCTCCAGGGCTTTGGCCAGAGTGGACTGCTGCCCTCTGTCCGGACGAACTCGCAGTCCCGCCACTTTCAGGCAGGCGCATCCCGACAAAATGCCGAGCGCCTGATGCACTTGCATCGCCAGCTGCCCTCGCATTGACAGCACCAGGGCAAACGGCATCACCTCGCCCGTGATCTTCTCCGTCAGGGGTCGAGTCGATCTGAATCTCAACAGGACCCCGGGGCCTCCCACATTGTTGATCACCGCCTGGATCGCGTCCAACGCCAAGGAGTACGTGATTGGCGCTTGAGGTGAGACTTCCACCGTCTGCTTCTCCGGCGACCACTGCTGGTATACCCATTTGGGATTCAGCGCCTGCTCCCCATTCACAAGCCACCCTACACTGTGCATCTTTGTGAGGCGATCTTGATCTTGGAGCAGGGCTTGCAACCTCGTGGCCAGCTCCTGGAAAACTCCTATCAGGAGGACGGTGCGAAGGCTGCTTGTCACCTTCTTCTCCTGGTACAGCTCTTGCCACTTCGCCGACTTCTCCTGGATGAGAGAGAGCACTCCTTGCTCTTGCGTGTCCACAAACATCATCCACGTCGTGTCCTGACGAAGTAGCCGCATTTCCGACTCGTGCCGCATCAGCATCTTCGCGACATTGCGAAGGAACTCCTGCTCCTGCTCTCCAAGCGGTGCTGGCTCGTACGACCACGGGTCCTTGGGATCCTTCCAGGAGCCACCGGAGTTTCCTTTGCCGTAGCTCTGCTGGCCTTTGGAAGCGGGCCTGTTCCACTTGGGCTTCCTCCCTGCCCAGTCCTCCAGCCCTTCCGTTGACTCGCGGCGCGACTTGTCCCCCGTCTCCAGAGGAGGAGCGCCGAAGACCTCTGCAGCCTCCCGTCTGGCCTGTTCCGCCATCGCCTGATCTCCCGGCTCCATGTTCCTGCGCAAGCAGTATGGACACAAGGGAAGCCTGAAAAACCGCCATACAGCGAGGCAAGTGTGCACGCGGCTCCTTGGTGTGTAGTCCGCAGTAGCGACACGGAGACTCAGATACAAGGCCCAAGCTTGAGCACTGCGACACCGCCGCCTCCTTATGCTTCCAGGCTTGCACGTGAGTCAGGCGCACATGCTGCTTGATGCCACCCGCAGAGGAAGCCCATTGCCCACAGATCACACAGTGCGTGCCAAGTGTTTTTACATAGGCTTTCTGACGCAGCACAGTTCGCCATCCGGCTTTGATCTGGGCACAAAAATCTGGCGACTCCAGCAAGGGTCGGGCAACCGTTTCTGCCGGAGGAGTCCGGTGCGAACACCCCAGCAACTCCTCATGCCCGGGGGGTACCTCCCCACTCGCGACATTGGCTTCCATGGCCACCTTTACCTGTTGCTGGTACTTAACGCTACAGGAGCCTCTGAGATGTTTTTGAAGACCCTCAACACGCGTAAAAATTTTACGGCAGTACAAACATTGCGGCATGCCATCTATGGTTTGTCTCGTGTACTCCCTAGAGACAAGCTTCGGGGCTTTAACCTGACCATGCTGCCTAGCCTGATGCGAACGCAGAAGCCGCATATCTGGGAAGTACACGCCACATATGTGGCAGGCTACCGGGTCACAATCAGTCATCTCGACAAGCCCAGCAGACAGTGAGACTGCTGTACTGTTGCTTAACCGGTCGAGTTATCGCTTATTGCGCGCAAACCCTGCCTGGCTGTCTTCTCGAGGGCACGATCGGAAGCGCCCCTCCAGCAACTTCTGAAAAACGTCAACTGGGCGCTTCAGCTGCAGTCGGGTGCGCAAAGCTTGGGTACTCTCATGGGTGATATGCGACGGGCTTTTGGCAAGTGCTCGCAAGTATCTGGCATCCCTATGTTCTAGTAGGCGCAGAACCCCGGCCGTATATCCGACTGCATGCTGGCCATAAAACATGGAACTTCGGACACAGGAGGAGTACAGGACAGTCCGGGTACGCAGGCCAAGGCCAGATGTGTGCAACACTTTCAGTAACTGCTGCCTGACACTCCCCGCCATGCGCATTCTATGCCTGCAGGTCCTAAGAGCATAGTTGTCCAACGACACCTCAATTCCCAAGTAAACGGCACTACGTACATGTGGAATGTCCAGCGGCCGTGTCGGCGTGCCAAGGCGAAGCACAAAACCATCTTTGGTGCGGTGTCTTGCCTGCTGTAGCCATCTCTTAGCAACCCCACCCCGAACGGAGAGAATTAGCTTAGATTTTGAAGCATTAACAGTCATCCCCAGTTCCTTGAAAAGCGAGAACGTGACACGCACACATCTGCACAGAAAGCGAAGGTCAGCTTCGGATTCGATATGCCACTGAAGCATGGTGTCATCTGCGAATAGAGTGACAAAGGCAGCCGCCCATGTAGCGTCTGTGCGTTCACGGAGAGCTTCATAGAAGAAGCCCGTGAAGGTTGCGAAAAGCAACGGGGACAGGGAACACCCCTGACGCACTCCAAGTTGCATCGGAAACTGGCCTGTGTGCTTATGATGGCGTATGGAATAGTGGCACTGCTCATGAAGATCCATCACCATTTCACATAGGTCACTGGGTGTTCCCGCCGCCTGTAGCGAGGCTGCAAGTGCCCAACGCGGCAGAGCATCAAAAGCTCTGCTGAGGTCTAGACTGAGAAGCGCTCCACCCTTACACTTAGGATTACGATTTCCAAGTCTCCTAGAGTGAACCGTGGTTTGCGCATCCTGGAGTGTGGCCTTAATGCGATCACAATTGTGACAAACTCTTAGGATGGCTTCATCAATCGACCTCCCCGGCACATAGGCAAATTGTGGCTTGTCACTCAACCACGGGACTACGTAGGGGGCGATTTTATCTCTAAGGGTACAGGCCAGGATCTTAGAACTCGGGTCTTGGAGGCCTAGTGGGCGCAGATCGCAGGGCCGACGGGACGGTCGTCCCGGCTTCGGCAGGAGCGCAAGCTGACAATCTGTCGTTTCAGCAGGCAGAGGTTGGCGTTTCATCCTACAGTACTGGATGTGCTGCGTAAGGTATCTAGAGAACGGGCCAGGGCTAATCTGCCAGGTTTCCGCTATGGGGCTACCAGACGGGACAGCCTTACAGGACTTAAGGGCGGTGATTGCCTGCTCCACCTCTGCCGCACTGAAGGCCACAGCAGTGTGCAGCGTTGTATGTTGAAACGTATCCTGACGCTGAAACACCGTGCTAAAGTACTGATAAATTGCATCAAACTGCTCGCGCTGCGTGAGGACATTCCCGGTGGGTGACCTTATCCTAAGGGACTCATGCTTACGTTTGGGGGCCAGACGTCTAACAACCCTATAGACCTCCCGCATATCATGCCTGGCAGCAGCGTCGCTGGCACGCTGCACGAGCATTTCAATGCGAGCACGCCGAGCAGTTCTCCCGCGCTGACGAACCTCCCTCCATGCTCTCATAAAACGGTGGTACCTCTTCCATGCTGCCATGATTTGGAGGAAGGAGGTTCCAGGTCTCCGCGCACGGAGCGCGCGGTGAAGTGCCCACATGTGACCTATACCAGTCTTCACTGCAGGCGTGGCACCTGGTCGTAGGATGACAACAGGCTTACGTGGGAAGTGAGCAGCACAAAGACTTAGCAGGGTTCTGTTAAGCGCTGCTATAGGCATACTGGGCAACACATGCTCAGCGACATGCTGCACCTGCGTCTGAAAGGCAGCAAAGCGTTCTGTCCGGTGCTGCCGATGCCAGCGCAGGTCCTCCTGGGAGTACCGAGCAGGAGCCAACTTCGAGGACCCCTGCATGTCTAGTCTCCATCCTGCCAGCTGTGGTATGCTACACCCGAGCTTACGATGCTTGGGTCCCTGACGCCAAGGCGTGAGGTCCTCTGTGTTGGGACAAGCACTGCGCGCAATGTGGTCAGCTGCATGCTTCCTGACCATGAGGTAGTCTATCTGTGATCGCTGCTGACCATTGCAGAACGTGGCACACTTAGAAGGACGGTTACTTCCCCAGGTGTTAAGCACACAGAGCTGATTTGCTTCGATCAAATCCTGAAGTTCCTGATCAACACGATCCGCCGAGCCTTGAAGGAGACCTTTGCCAATCAGGTTCGTGTGCGCCTGCAGTCCTGCATTGAAGTCACCGCCCACCAATAGGAGGTTCCGCTTGGGAATACTGTGGACCACGCGCCCCAGCTGGTGCCATATCTGCGTCCTTTGCTCTTGCCGCTCAGCAGAATAAGATACCTCACGCACCCACTGATAAACCGTGACCAGATCGATATTCAGCTGGTCACATTCCACCCGCACCTGAAGTACACGCCCTGGCACCCATGCACAGAAGGTGCACGCCGTAGCAGGCGCCAGTCTATGCGACACCACAATGGCCACTCCCGCGTAACGTCGCGCCGGGTCCGGTGAGGAAAACCACGTCCAGCCATTGGTGCTCCATTGGCTCTCGGTGTGTCCTAATCCCCAGTGCGTCTCCTGCAACAGCAGGACTCCAAGGTCATGCTGTCGCTCCAGCCAGTCACACAGTACATCATAGGCATCGGAAGAACATCCGCCCATGTTCCACGTTTGGACACGCAAGCGCCGTGACTCAGGAGTGCGGCGCAGTCTCGTCTCTTGAGCAGTTGGCCCACGGGAGGGACCTGCTGCCCTGCTTACAGTCAAGGCCTGGAGGCTAGCCGCGCTATGCAACCGACCTCGATAGACAGTTTGTCCATGTACTGCAGCCCTCTGCTTCGCCCTGCGAAAAGCTCTCTTACGTGCAGAAGAAATATTAAAATTCATCCCACCACATGGTTTTGCTCTATGAGCTCCCGGGCAATGTTTGGTTGATTGCCCAACCCTCAGGTCTGTCATCACAGGTGGCACTTCCACTGCCTCATGAAATGAAGGTGATGACTGCTGGACTTGGGACCAGCACGGCTGTGTTTCCCTGTTCACCATCAGAGCAGTATAATATCGGATCACAAGCAGAACAACGACTCCTGTCAAAAAGACCATGGCGCAAAGTCGTCCTATCTGACCGCTCAGGCTCCAGCCGAGACCCTTAGTAGTAGTAGTAGTAGTAGCAGCAGTAGTATACAGGCTTGGAGGGGGGCTGAGCAGTCGCACCTCTGTCGGCAGGTCCAGACCGCGGTGACTAGGTTCATGGTAGGCCTGGCGGGAAGTTTGGAGTGGGAACTAAGCACATCAACCTCCATCCCGCAACCAGAACTTTGGTAGTGGTCGACATTGCAAAACAACATTGTCGTCGTAGTCCGTGATGGTCGTCGAAGCAGAGGTAGACTCAGAAGAAGACTAGCGGTGTTACATGGTAGCAGTAGCAGCCGCTGCTGTGGCACTGGCAGCAGGAGTCGTAGTAGTAGTGGTAGTAGTAGTAGTAGCAGCAGCAGCAGCAGCAGCAGCGGCAGCAGTAGCAGTAGCCGCAATAAGCAGAAGTAGCAGTAGTAGTCATCGCCGTAGTAGTGGTAGAAGTAGTAACACATGTTTACAGTGTATGTGAAACAAACTTCGCTCCAACCTTGCACAAAGCACGACGGCTGTATGCTTCTTGAGGAGAAACCAACAGTGGCTGCTATCGCAAACACAGGCTTTCCCTAAGGGTCCAAGTACGTACCCAATAATCATATACTCTTCTGAATACTAACCTACACAAATACTATCCGTAACCGCAGTACATGATCATTAGGTCCTTTGGACCCTCAGGGTTTTGGCACCCCACGAGTTGGTTATTTGATCAGGGCTCTTTCTCGGTAGGTTTAGGGTTTAGGGTTAGGGTTTAGGGGGGTTCGCTCAGAACGCTGTGGCTGTGCAGGACCCGGTTTAGGAGTCCGTAGAGGGCAAGGCTGGGAAGGGTGCTGAGCAGTCGCACCTCTGTTGGCAGATCCAGACTGCAGTAGCCAGGTTCATGGCAGGCCTGACGGCGTTTAGGGTTTAGGGTTTAGGGAAGTTTGGAGTGTGGGAACTAAGCACATAAACCTCTATCCCAAAACCAGAACTTTAACTGAACCCAAGGCACCTGGGCGCGCTGTTGTTGTCGTCTGGGTGCCTAACCCCGAAGCCCCAAGAAGGGCGGGTCCCGTACTAGACTGCTGCATTCTCTTCGCATATGTATAAGGGTAAGTGCATCCGCTGATGTGGACTTGCAAAACTCTGGGTTTAGGGTTCAGTGGTTGCGGTGCCGGCTCGCCTAACGGTACTTCTGTGCCGGAGCAAATTCTCTCCGTTAAGTGAAAGTCTAACTAACATCCTCATAACCATCGCCATCGGCATCAACACGTTCATATCAAAAGCATGTTGAGCACCAAAGCAGCACCCTGGTAGCAACAGCTTTGAAAACGCCAAAACAAGCAAAGGATGCCACCTGTCAGGGTTGGCCTCGCGATAGCAGTCGTTCTGGTAGTCATACAAGTAGTAACAGGTGGTGCTGGTGGTGGTGGCCCTGCTTGAAGCAGATCCAAACCGAAACCCTACACCCTAAACC